AACATTTTTGCAGCCTAAGTTTGATCTTTTTTATTTTATTTTTAAAAAAGAGACTTCAGAATTTTGAGCCCAGAATAAACAACACAAAACAAGAATTCTTGCATATAGTGACATATCATGCATAATGTAATTTGTGCAACCTTCAGATCATTTGTCAAGGAACATAACAGCAAAGGGATAAGGAATAATATGAGAAGAACGTGGAGATCATATTAGACTAAGCTTGGGATTGCCTGTGTCGCACCCATGGGCACAATGCCACCCTGGAGGATTTCTTCAGGCACCCACAAAGCCTCTCAGCTACCCCTGCCCCCCTCATCCTGTGGTGGTGATGAAGGAAGTTAACTTCCTCCCCATGGGAAGTACAGTGCTACCTCAGGTTAAGAACTTAATTCGTTCTGGAGGTCCATTCTTAACCTGAAACCGTTCTTAACCTGAGGTACCACTTTAGCTAATTGGGCCTCCCGCTGCTGCCACGCCACCGGAGCCCGATTTCTGTTCTCATCCTGAAGCAAAGTTCTTAACCCAAGGTACTATTTCTGAGTTAGCGGAGTCTGTAACCTGAAGTGTCTGTAACCTGAGGTACCACTGTACAGACCCTCCAAGTGTCCCTATTTATGAGGGACATCCCTGATTTAGAGAATCTGTCCCAGTTTCTGTTTTGACCCTGGAATGTCCCGCTTTCCCTTAAGACGTCCCTATTTTCATGGGAGAAATGTTGGAGGATATGGAATTATCCAACCCCTGAACCGTCTGAAGGCAATCCTGTACAGGGAAGTTTTTTTTAAAAAAAATGTCCAATATTTTATTATGTTTTATATATGTTGGAAGCTGCCAGGAGTGGCTGGGGCAACCCAGTAAGATGTGTGGGGTATAAATACAGTGGTACCTCGGGTTACATACGCTTCAGGTTACAGACTCCGCTAATCCAGAAATAGTACCTCGGGTTAAGAACTTTGCTTCAGCATGAGAACAGAAATCGTGCTCCTGCTGCGCAGCAGCAGCAGGAGGCCCCATTAGCTAAAGTGGTGCTTCAGGTTAAGAACAGTTTCAGGTTAAGAACGGACCTCCGGAATGAATTAAGTACTTAACCTGAGGTACCACTGTAGTAAAATTATGATTATGGGATGGGATGAGACTATTTTAATTGGAGAAATGTTGGATGGTATGGAAGTACACAGAGCTGAAGAAGGAAGCTGAGAAAGCAGCACCATTTCCCGGTTCTCCTTTTAGTTTTAGGTGTTGTCCAAGGCTCCCTTTGGCACATGAACTGCTAATATGAGCCTCAGAAAGCACATAAGGTAGAAGATGAGCACCACTGTCTTTTGCTTCCTCTTTTAGCTTTATCTGCTTTTCAAGGCTCAGATGGGAGGACAGAATGTTGGATACAACAGGAGAAAGAGAGAAAGAGAGAGAGAACATGTAAATGAGTAGCAGCCAATCAATCCTGTCAAAACTGCATATATTTTCATAGACCCCTCTTCCCATCTCTCCTCAACTGGCATCAAATCACAGATCACATCTGTCTTCCTTGCCTTAATTGTAAATCTCTCTCTCTCTCCAGCATTGCCACAGCACAAAAGCATGAACCTGAAGCACGAGTCCTTAAGAGTCCTAATAAGTTTACAAAGGATCCCCTCAGAACCAGAATCACTTGTATTCGGTGGTTTTGTTGTCATCCAATGTAAAAAATAAATAAATCAGGAAGATCCATGAGAATCTGTGCCTTCCACGATTTTTTTTAAATTCTAGCAAGCACTGACTTTATGATTTCTGTTATGCAGTCTACCAGTGCAGCTTAAATTTGATGGTGGTTTGGGAAGGGGGAGCCCTGTGTAAAATCATGCAAATTCAAGAAGAGCCATTTTAATTTTACAGGGTTTTACTTTCACCTAGAGTCCCACAGAAAAACAGCTTGCACACATGTGTGTGTTTTCTCTCTTTCTGCCCGGGGTTGGCAGGGACCCAGGAGAAGAGCAGCGAAAATCCAGCAGAATGTCTAGGACTAAAATGAGATTAGGGACCAGATCTCCCAGGCCCAACACTCTTATTCATACAAAAAATAAATAAATTTGGGAATGGTGGATTGTTTGGGAGGAAATTTGGAAGCTCTGTCACCCTTCAGTTTTGAGCATAGTTCTCATTGACACAGCACACATTTCCTCTTTCATATTTCTCAAATTTAGTTGATGCCAGCAGTTCCCCTCCCTCCATGCACACACATAATAGCCAGCCTCAGTCACAACCATGTGATGTTGTGTATTTAAAGTGCTTCAGTTTTATTTATAGTTCTTCTGAAACCAGCATCAGCTCATCATTTCAGCATGGAATAGAATATATGATTTGATCACCAAAGCTAGTTTAAAAAATTCCGCTGTTTCTATCTTGCACAAGAATATGAAAAACCCCACATGGTTTTTGTGCCTCTGCCTACACACACACACACACACACACACCTTTTGTCTGTCTGTCTACATGTGCATGCCCACACACACACTTCCACGCCATATTTTTTTGCCTTGCTCTTGACCTCACTGGATGGAGATTTCCATATTTTAGACTCCCCACCTCACGCCTTTCACATTTAGAAGCTAAGGAGACAGGTTGTGACTAAGTAACTCACAAAGCTTTTCATTTCTGCCCACGGGAGGAGGTTATCCAATATCAGTTTTAAAAAGAAACCCTCCAGGATCCAATTCCAAATCTGTCATGTCATGATTGGACAGATCATTGGTGAGTACTTAATGGGAACAATTTTATTAGGTTTTTTAGATACTTTGTAGCATACACTACTCCTGCCCATTCTCAGTAGCGATGTACAATATGGGTACACAGTAACATGGTTTTTCATACTGGATTACACAATGTTATGGAATTGGATTCAAGTTGCAAGGAAGGAGCTTCCGACGAAACATCAAGAGGAACTGTCTGATGGTAAGAGCAGTTTGACAGTAGAACAGACTCCCTAGGGAACCTTCATTCAAGGTTCATAGCCATCCGTCTTGGATACATTGCAGGGAGTTGGACTAGATGACCCCTGGCGTCTCTTCCAACGCTACAGCGCTGCGGTTCTAAAAATGCCATCATTCTCCAGTGTTTTTTCTTCCAAAGGAAACCCAACCCAGCTCATGCTGACCCTGCCTGAACTGAAATTTCTCATTGTTTGGGAAAAAATGGGACGTGAGCAACCATATTTGGCAAACAACAAGGAAGAAATGGTCCAGATTGTTTACATGTGTCCTCTCTTAATCTATTTTCCTAGTAAGAACAAAACAAAGCCCAGCTGTTCTTCCAGATTGCAAATAAATATAGGCCCAGATCCAAAGCTATTTACATCCAGGGGGCTTTGAGCTTCCCAGTGATGCAAGTATCTTCTAAAATGTCATAGTATGGGACCAAAGGCGGTTTCATGGCTGTGCAATGGGTGTGATGGTACTGGGATCCATGCTGCAGGGGACGCCAAATTTTAGCATTGCGCAGGGTGCTGCTAAAATTTGAGAGTACAAAGTCTGCCACTGCAGGGGGTGTCACTTCCACTGTGGTGCATCCCACAGCATAGCAATTAACACTGAAAGGCTTGCAATGATCAGAGTGTGGCTAATGCAAAAGCCCTGTTTGGGAAATCGTTTTTTGCATGTGATGATGTGAAAGAAAGCCACGTGTGTGGTGCCAACCCCTGCTGCCTTCACTGTGTCATCTTCTCATATTTCATCCTCATCCTTATCCCTCCATGAGTTGGATATACGATATACAATATCTTTATTGTCATTGTCCCATACAGAACAATGAAATTGAAAATCTACATAAAACATGCAAAACCCCCTAAAAACACAAACCCCATTTTAAAATACAATATACTATAGAGACTCCTTATGCTGTGTTTAGAACCAGAATTGCATTAGCGTAGAAGCTGTTTCTCAGGCAGCTAGTCCTGGTCTTTATAACCCTATACCTTCTTCCAGAAGGCAGAAGCTGAAAGAGATCATTTCCAGGGTGCGTACTATCCTGCGCTATCTCTGCAGCTTTCTTATGGCACTTGACAGCATAGATTTGATTGAAGGTGGGAAGAGTGCACCCAATTATTCTCTGTGCAGTCTTTACAACCCTGGACAGCATTGTTTTTTCCCTTGCTGTGCAGCTCCCAAACCACACACAGACCATAAGTTCATGCACTCTCCACAGTACAATGGAGGGTCACCTTCTGGTGCAGAGAGCAGCTAGAACTCATGGAGACTCCCTGTGTGTGGAACCTGGGAAAAATCAGGGTGCGATATTGCATGGGGATCCTTTGAGACTGGAAGAGTCCCTCTGCTTCAGAACTTTGACTTCCATCTCATGGAGGGCTCAGAAATATGAGAAGATGACTTGCTGGAGAGTTTGGTCCCTGGGAGTGGACCTGCAGTTCTTCCTCACACACACCCAGATACAGCTGAAATCACTGACAATTTCATGCTAACATTTTGTGTAATTAGTTTCACCCACATTGTTGTGGGTGTGGTGTGGCATATACCCACTGTAGCTGCTGTTGACCTCTTCAGGGGTGGGCAGGGACAAGGTCCACCCCTGTGCCAATCCAGCAGTTCCACCAACTCTCCTCCCAATTCCCATCTAGGTAAGCAGCAGTGAAGCTGGTGCTGGAACGGAGCACTCAAGTTCTGTCCTGCCACATGTACCACTAGTGGTCTTTAAACATTACAGAGCCATGCCACAGAATGAACCAGTAGCAGAGGTGTTTCCAAGCACAATTCAAAGTGTTGGTGCTGACCTTCAAAGCCCGAAAGGGCCTCGGTCCAGTATATCTGAAGGAGCGTCTCCACCCCCATCGTTCAACCCAGAGACTGAGGTCCAGCGCCGAGGGCCTTCTGGCAGTTCCCTCACTGCGAGAGGCCAAGTTACAGGGAACCAGGCAGAGGGCCTTCTCGGTAGTGGCGCCCGCCCTCCCACCAGATGTCAAAGAGAGCAACAACTACCAGACTTTTAGAAGACATCTGAAGGCAGCGTTGTTTAGGGAAGCTTTTAATGTTTAATGTTTTACAGTATTTTAATATTTTTTGGGAAGCTGCCCAGAGTGGCTGGGGAAGCCCCTCCAGATGGGCGGGGCATAAATAATGAATTGTTGTTGTTGTTGTTGTTGTTGATGGAGGGGCCTGTTCTCACTTGACCTCTGGACAGTGCAAAAGCACAGGCAGAAACACCCGATTGACTAAAGTGGTGCATTTGCACTGCATCAGCCTCACCAGGACTTCACTCCTCTCCTTCGATCTCCCTGTAAGCAGCAGCAGCAATGTGACTGGGAAGTACTGCTGCCCCATCATGCCATCTGCTGCTGGAAAGAATTCATAAAAAAGCGTCGCCTGCTCCTAAAAGATCAAAAACTTACCAAAGCACTTTTTAAATTGAAGGGATTTTCAAAACTGATTTCTTGCATTGACAAAGGGAAATGTTCAAAGGAAAATTTGATTTGAGTCCTATCTGGAGGAAAACAGCTTACAACATTGTCCCTATCCAGCCTGTCATTATAATATATAAAGGGGAAGGGAACAATTTTGCATCTTCAAGGCGCTGGATAGGACGTCTTCAAAAGAATTTATTCAGCTCATAAAAGCTAAAGTAATTTCTCATGTTTATGATATAAACCAACTTACCATTCTTACTTGCTTGGCATCAGATCAGGATACAATATTTTATCTCTCTCTCTGACCCCTGGGTGTGGCAATGATTCAGTCAATGCAGCAGATTTTATGCTATTATTTTCCTACTGTGAGAAGACATATCTCATCTCATGCTTCATTTGCCACAATGTTTTCCTGCCACCGAGCAGAAAGGGTGTGGTTGGTTGGAGACAGAGCACTTATAAGCCCGCAATACATTTATATTTAAATCCTATTGTTTCCTTGCATTTTCAACAGCCGTTAGGCCACTTAATCCATTTGGCCAGCTGCAAGCAGAAATAACAACCCAAATAAACCTGTTCTTCCAGGTAGCAAGTACAATATTGAGAGCCAGAGTGTTGTAGTGGTTACGGTGTTGGACTAAGACCTGGCACCAGTCATTTCCTCTCAACCTAATCTACCTCATAGGGTTATTGTGCCACTCTACTCCCTGCCAGCACCTGCTGTCTGAGGCAGTCACCTCATCTTGCCTATTGTTAGGGCTGGCCCTGTTCTACATTCCAATTCTTGGTGACACTAGAATGTGCGCAAGAGACAGAAATCAAGAGCTGGGTTTTAAGTGTATGATGATGACACATAATAGCAGCTACTGCATGGCACATCTGCAGCAACATCACATTAGTAGAAGAATGCACACTGTTTTATTTATTTGTAGACTATGTCTGGGAATTTTTCAAGGGTGATGTGTGAAGCAGCCCCCATGGCAGGCATATTATTCAAGGTTTCACCACTTGCAGGTAGATGCGAATGACTGCTGCTTCTATGTTGTATTACAATTAAGTGTTTTAAATTTTTGTTAGCCGCCCTGAGCCCGGTTTTCTGAACCGGGAAGGGCAGGGTATAAATAAAAAATTATTATTATTATTACATACCTTCCTTGAGAATTGGACTGGGTGTGGTGTGCCCCCCCCCTTTATAGTTAATTGCCTATTATTTAGTTTGGGTTGCATCATGCTCAAGAGAGAAGATTTTTCCATTCCACTTTGCATGACAGCAGAAGCGTGAACAGTGCTGAGCAAAGTTCCCCAAGGAAGACACACAGGCAGTTGTTGAAGGTAGGACAGTTTATTGAACTATTTATTGGTAACTGGTGAGAAAAGAAAAGTAACAAACTGGACAGTCTTTGGTCTGATTAACAGGTCTGAATAATCTTCCTCTCTTGGCTTCCTATGAGTACCCCATAGCAAACTCTATCATCTCTATCTATCATCTCTATCTATCTATCTATCTATCTATCTATCTATCTATCTATCTATCATCTCTATATCATCTATCATCTATCTATCATCTACCTATCACCTATCTATCTATCATCTTCCTTCCTTTGTTTCTTCCTTCCTTCGTTCCTTCCTATTTACATTTATGACCCATGCCTTCATGTATATAGATGCCAGAGTGGGCTACAGCACATAATATGAGCAAGGAGTGCAATTAAATTAACAAAACAATAAAATCTGGGGCAGCAGCATCTCTGGAGGTGATCTCTGGAAGTGATCAAAACAAACTGGGCAGGGTGGCCTCACCAGAGAAGGGGAGATACTCAGCCAATCAGAGGATAAAGGTGTGGTGGCTGGCAGAGAAGGACCAAGGAAGGAGAAATAGTAAGAAACAAAAGACGAGTAAAGAGCTTGTTGTTGTTGTTTAGTCATTTAGTCGTGTCCGACTCTTCGTGACCCCATGGACCAGAGCACGCCAGGCACTCCTGTCTTCCACTGCCTCCCACAGTTTGGTCAAACTCATGCTGGTGGCTTCGAGAACACTGTCCAACCACCTCGTCCTCTGTCGTCCCCTTCTCCTTGTGCCCTCCATCTTTCCAAACATCAGGGTAGGCCATGGGAAAACCTTGTCACAGTGACTTGGCACACAATGTAGGAGGAAGGAAAAAGCAGCAGTTCTGTTGCCAACCACTCTAGTGGCAAGTAGGGGAAAGTTAACTGGAGGAAGGAAGAGGCTGCTTGCACTCCAGATGACAGAGAAATTAACAGGGAAGCAAGGCTGCTTAAATAAGCAGATCTCAGAAGAGTTCACTGGGTGTTTTCCGAAGGTAGAAGAGTCCCTGGTGCTCTGGAGACCCTTGGGAGTAAGAGGATGGAAGCTTCCACATCAGACTTATTAAGATTATTATTGATATGGTTGTTTGTCTTGTTAGAAATAGCAGCAGTTAAGCTAACTTGACACATGGGTGCTAAATGCAAAAATGTTCTAGGTTGATCTAGAATACCTGGCAGGCTTTTGCACTTGGAGCAGAGAAGCTGCCCACCTTGTCCTTCTGCTCAGGTGGACCAACCTTGTGACCAGCCCCTTGAAATGAGCTTGAAGGAAGGAGGGTGCCAGCACAAACACTTCCCACTTCTGTTTGCTTCCTACAGGGATTAAAAGAGGACAGGATGTGGCCATGGACCGTCATCTCCCAGAAAGTTTCTATCCCATTCATCTTAATAACTATATTGATTCTTCTTCTGCTGTCACATATTTAATTTCCACTAGATCAGGAAAAAATCATCCCTCTCCCCAAAGTAGCCTTGTACTTATTCCTTGTATGTGGGAAGGGCTGCATCTCACAAGAGAGCATTTGCTTTGCATCCAGGTGGTCTTTGGTCCAGTCCCTGGCATCTTCAGGTAGGGGTGGGGAAAGGTTCCTGTCTGAACCCCTGGAGTGCAGCTGCCAATCAGTGTAGACAGTACTGCAGTTGATGGACCAAGAGTCTGGCTCAGTATAAGGTGTCTTCCTATGTTCCTGAAAAAGACCAGCTGGAGCAGGCATCCCCAACCTGCGGCCCTCCAGATGTTCTGGCCTACAACTCCCATGATCCCTAGCTAACAGGACCAGTGGTCAGGGGTGATGGGCATTGTCGTCCAAAACATCTGGAGGGCTGAAGGTTGGGGATGCCTAGACTATAGAGCATCTCACCGTTTTTCCATACTCTCGTCAACAGTTAAATGGGGATTGTTGGCAGAAGAGGCAGCATGCAGTGGGAGGAAAAAGTCCTCTTTCCCTTTTCTTTAGTATAATTTGCTTCTGTCCTTGGCTACTTAGTATTGCATTTTGTAGCTAAAGCTGCTTCATTCCAGTTTTAATAATGCAGCCAAGCTGCTTTCTGCCATAATCTCAATATAATCACCATAATTCCTTCAGCTTCCAATATAGGTCATGTTATGCTTGATTCAATAAAATTTTGCTCTAAAGCTTTATTAATCTGATAGTACATTAGGCTGCATCGATTTGATAACAGTCTGCTGTTATTTTGTTTGCTTTTATACCGTTGTTGCTTCTATTATTGAATTTGATTAAATAAATAAACATGCCATTGCTGCTGTGTAAGTCTGCCAGCTCTGTCTCCATTCTTTGGGCATACAATGATCATATGTGCTTTCAGATCCACAAAGCCTTGCTAGGTCAGAGCAATGGTCTAACTTAGCCTTGGGAGCCTTGGGAGCTACAGAGGAAGAACAAAGGAGCCGGCATTAATAAAGGATGCCTTTTTCTCTCTTTTTTAAAAATAGCTTTTATTTATCTGCAAAGAAAGAAAAAAGATGTTGGAGTAAAGAATACAGGAAAGGTTTACGATGCCCCCACTGACCCATGCAAGTCATCACTTTATGCTGCAGTCATCACCAACCAACCCTTATCTGAAAGAAAGTTCTGTTGAAGTCAGTGAGATTTAGGACTGCTTCACAGTTGTTTGCTTATTCCTACACATGTGTAGATGCAGGTGGTGCTATGGTCTAAACCACTGAGCCTCTTGGGCTTGCCGATCAGAAGGTCGGCAGTTTGAATCCGTGTGACAGGGTGAGCTCCCATTGCTCTGTCCCAGCTCCTGCAAACCTAGCAGTTCGAAAGCATGCCAGCGCATGTAGATAAATAGGTACCGCAGGAAGGTAAATGGTGTTTCTGCATACTCTGGTTTCCACCACGGTGTTCCGTTGCGCCAGAAGCAGTTTAGTCATGCTGGCCACATGATCCAGAAAACTGTCTGTGGACAAATGCCGGCTCCCTTGGCCCAAAAGCGAGATGAGCACCACGACCCCATAGTCGCATTTGACTGGACTTAACAGTCCAGGGGTCCTTTACCTTTATACATATATACACTTTATATTTGACAACTAATTTCTACAGAGAGATCTTCTGTGTTACCTCACATCACTTTGGGCTTTCCAGTAGGCTGAGTTCATGCACTCAGTTGCCAGCCGTCAAGTGTACATTAAACACCCACAGTGATGCACAACCCTTACAGACAGGTCTACCACTAAGAATACTACTACTCACGTCTGTGTTATTCTAGCATGCAGCTGAGAGCCTGCACAGTTGCTCACTTGCACTAAGCCATAGTTTGGCTTAGCATTTCAGTTGTACTGTGTCACTGGCTCTCACACTGGTGTATGATCACCACAAATCCAGCCAAACCCATCTATCTCTACATGCCAGGCAGGGACTCAGGTGACGCTGGGGTCTAAACCATTGAGCCACTTGGGCCTGCTGATCAGAAGGTCAGCGGTTCAAATCCCTGTGACTGGGTGAGCTCCCGTTGCTCTGTCCCAGCTCCTGCCAACCTAGCAGTTTGAGCACGCCAGTGCAAGTAGATAAATAGGTACTGCTGCGGCGGAACGTAAACGGCATTTCCATGCGCTCTGGTTTCTGTCATGGTGTTCCGTTGTGGCAGAAGCGGTTTAGTCATGCTGGCCACATGACCCAGAAAGCTGCCTGTGGACAAACACCGGCTCCCTCGGCCTGAAAGTGAGATGAGCACCGCAACCCCATAGTTGCTTTTGACTGGACTTAACAATCCAGGGGTCCTTTACCATACCTTTACATGCCGGATATTATGAGTAAACTCTGTCTGCTAGGCAACATGGATAGGCTAACATACCCTACATAACCTGCGGCTTTATTTAAGATGAAGGTGCAACCGTAAGCAAAGTCCTTACTTGGAAGTAAGTCCCACCAGGGATGAATTTCAAGTAAAAAAAATTAGGCCTTGAGTATACGTGGCTTACCTTAATCTTATCTATGAAGCTGTTCATATAGAGCAAAAGAGAAGCTGTGCTTTTGCAGAAAGAGAGAGTGGGAGGAAAGGAGAGAGAGAGAAAATGAAATATAGAATTATATATATATATATATATTAAAGACTTTTGCATCCTTTGGCCAAGAAACTATGTGCAGCAGCATTTGTTAGTATAATTGCATATGTTGAAAGCTTCATTACAAAAGAACAGTGAGTACTCAGCAATGGGAACATTTCAGGAAAGTGCTAATTTTCAGATGGCTGCCTGTCAGCGTCTTTATTTGTCTCACATGGCCAGAGTGTCTGGGAGCAGTTTCTACCAGATTTGGACCTTTAAATAACTCTTGGCCACTGAGGATTGTATCACTCCAAATGCACAAGGCAGAGGGGAAAAAGCATCTTAATCCTGTCGATGAATG